TAGATTTCAAGTACCTAAGCAACCACTTAAGAGCATTCCAATGAGGCAAACCAGGATTAGACATATACCTACTCAAACAACTAACAGCATAGACAATGTCGGGTCTAGTACTCACCATGAGGTACATCACAGACCCAATAGCATCGGAATAAGGCACAGATTTCATTTTAGCAATTTCAGGAGCAGTCTTGGGGGACTGATCCTTACTTAACACAAAGTGGGACGCCATAGGAATAGAGACGGTAGTAGCAGAATGCATGTTATATTTACTCAAAATCTTTTCAATGTATGAAATCTGATTGAGTACTAACACACGCTTACTCATATCCCTAACAATGTTAATACCTAGGATCCTCTTGGCATCACCTAGGTCTTTCATTGCAAAGTTCTCACTGAGACGCTTTTGCACACCTTTAATGGCGTCACCCGAAGGACTAACAATCAACATGTCATCCACATAAAGCAATAAAAATACAGGCACAGAAGAAGTATTTTTAAAGTATAGGCAATGGTCACACTCGGACTTGTGAAATTTCAAAGATGACATGCACTGGTCAAATTTGATATTCCACTGCCTCGGGGACTGCTTCAGGCCGTACACGGCCTTCCTAAGCAAACACACATGATTACTCTTCATGGGATCCACAAAGCCCTCAGGCTGGGTCATATAGATTTTCTTGTCTAAATCACCATGCAAGAAAGCAGTGGTGACGTCCATTTGCTTCATTTCCCAATCATTATGAGCAACAAGAGCAAGCATCATTCTAATCGTAGTGAATTTAACAACAGGAGCAAAGATTTCAGCATAATCAACACCTTCCTTTTGAGTAAATCCCTTAGCTACTAACCTAGCCTTATATCTAATGTCGTTAGGCTCTTCCTTAACCTTAAATAGCCACTTACACTCAACTACGGAACTATTGGGCGGTCTAGGAACTAACGTCCAAGTCTTATTCGCTCTAAGTGACTCCATTTCACTCTCCATGGCGCAAAGCCATTTAGCGGACTCATTAGACTTAAGGGCCTCTCTATAGGTTTTAGGTTCGTTAAGCTCAAGGGTCTCAAACACAGAGAAAGCAAACATAGAAGTATCACACGCATGGAAAGCAAAATCAGGCATGCTATCAGCAGTTCTCCTAATTTCTCTCCTACTTCTATCTCTAACAAGTTGGTAATCATGCAAATCATTATCACTAGAATCGGCACTCTCATGATGCGATTCATTGTCATTTGAATGCACATGAGAATGCTCCACCTCACTCGACGTGGTGGTATTATCATGCTCAGAAGAATCATGCAATTCAGAAAAATCATGCAATTCAGAAGAATCATGCAAATTAGAAGAATCATGATTAGCAAACAAAGGACTAGCAACATATGGTATGGACTCCACCTCAACAGGTGTACTACTAGGGCTCGACTCAGAATCAGGAACTGACTTAACTAGACAAGGGAACTCGGATTCATTGAAAACAACGTTTCTACTTACCACAACCTTGAAACCAACCTGGTTTCTATCCCAAACCCTGTACTCCTTCACACCCTCAGGATAACCTAAGAAGACTCCTTTCTTAGACCTAGGATCCAATTTGTCACCTTGTTGGTGCACATACGCAGCACACCCAAACACTCTAAGATTAGACAAATCAAGGGGCTTGTTTGAAAAAACAGATTCAGGGCATTTCCCACCCAAGGGAACAGAAGGAGACCAGTTAATCAAGTAGACAGCATTTCCCTCCAATGGCTCTGATACCACTGTAAGTTCCAGCTCAGGTCTCCGATTTCACCCACAAAGGATGAAGAACCACCACTATAGTCTCTAAGGGGAAAGGGGCGTCAACCAGCAGACTATTTCCGGCCAAATATCTCCGGCGAACCCACAGAGGAGAAAGAGAAGCTCAGACTGATTTTGGGAATTAGGTTTCGACCAGTTCACGCACTCTAAACGGAAGCAATATGCGAATATATATATATATATATATATATATATATATATATATATATATATATATATATATATATATATATATATGCATAGTACAAAGAATACAAAGATGGTAACTTATCATGGAGGTTTTACGGGAATCGCATAAGAAAGGAGAAGCAGATTGCACAGAATTCAAAAGGGGAGGGCTGCGAACGGGTATCTCAACCAAGAGGGTAATTGGGCTTAAGGAAATAGTGGGCCAATACCAACAGATTTTAATTTCAGGTATTCTGATAGATGCATGGATCTGATCATTTCACCTAATTGTCCAATTTCCCTTTTGCTGATAAATGCGAGTATGCATGTGGCCATATTTTATTTTAGTCCGTCAAACAGGTTTTGATCAGCCTTGTGGATTTGAAGTGTTTCATTATTTGAGCCATTGGTTATTGTATGTCAGTTTGTGTTTCTTAACGTTGTTTTTTTCACTGCGTCTAGTAAGTTATCATCTAATAAACCATACTCCGTAATTATTAATTAATATTCTTATTTAGTAGGAAAGAAGTATCTATACGCAACAATGTTACTAAGAAGAGAAAAAAGAACCGCATACTTTCTATAACGAAATGCGAAGTGTATTTTTAGACAAACAATTTGAGAGCGTATACTGGCCTTAGGCCGAAAACTACAAAGTTAAACTTATAGATCAAACATACGAATTTTTAACCAATAAATCATAACTTATAGACCCCTCGAAATAATTATGAACATACCACCGCAAAAAAATAAGTCTGGAATCATGAAAATTTTTTAACACGGTGTCATTTTTGTAATTACAATGGAGAGCTTTATGGGTATGTTTGGTTCAAAGAATATCATATTACCATGGGAATGTTAGATTACCAGGTATGTTAGATAGATGGGAATGTGATTAATGTATAACTCATTTGTGTTTGGTTACGATTAAGGGATGTGTGATTAAGTAGTATTGGACTCGGGCCAGGTGGCCCGACCCGGAACCGACCCAGGACCGGTACTGTGCTGAACCGGCTCAGCCCGGTGGCCCGGCCAGTGACCGGTCCGGGTAGGCCCGGCCCAGAGGGTTCCCGGTGCGGGATCGGGTCACCCAAAAGCCGAACCGGCCCGGTCGGTTCGGTCCCGGTTCCGGGCTTTTAATTTTTGTTTTCATTTTTTTTAACATTTCGGGTTGGGCTGGGTATTTTGGGCCATTTGGGGTGGTTTGGGGGGTTGGGGGTGGGGGGGGGTTAATTAGGAAAAGGAAAAAAAATTAAAAAGAGGTCCGACCCGGCTCGGGCCGGTCTCGGGCCCACCTTTTCTGAACTGGTGGCCCGCCCGGGCCTAGGCTTGACCCGGACCCGGCCCGACCCGGCCCGAGTCCAACTCTAACATTAAGTTGTTTGGTTGAATGATATCTTATATTACATGTTTGGTGAATTACTTAAGTGCCCTTAAATTTTCTTTTAACACATTAAACTTATTACAATCTATAATTAAAGTAATTAAAATTATTAAAATTAAAACACCTGAGTAATAATTAAAATCAAAATTGATTGAATTAATTTTAAGCAAAGTGTGTTCAATTACACAATTGACTAAGATTAGTGAACATTAGTAAATAATTTTAAGCAAAATATGTTTAATTGCACAAATGACAAAGATTAATGAACATTAGTAGTATAAAAGTAAGTGAATGTTGAAACTTACAAGTTACATATCACTAGCAAAAAGGTAATAATACAATTGCACAGAATCTATCACTCACATTTGTATTTACTTCCTCGATGATCAAAATATACTAGCAAAACTAAAGTTTAGAGATATCATCATAAAAATGTATTATTTTAATATATTAACATAAAAATATGCGAATTATAAAATGTTGAATTTATGTGAAATCTAAATGTTCCAGGTCATCTAAGATGGATCATTATCTCTACACGTGTCATCCCAAAAAACAACATGACCTCACACCAATCCACTATTCCTACCAACACATATAATCAAGAAAATTGATTGTAATACAATTATACGACTAAACTTAAGCACCAACCGAAGCTTAAGCAGCAACGATGGGTCGCAGGTCGGCAGCGCATGGTTAAGAAGAACGAAGGGAATAGCGAGTAGGATGGATTTTTTAGGAATAAAATTAATAAGCAAACGGGGATGTAAGATAACCTAAGACCTTGTTGGGTTTAAGATGACTAGTAATGTCATTCCCTTTTTCAGTTTTGGGAATGTAACATTCCCTAAAAAAAATAAAACCCGCCAACCAAACACATGTATCTCACATCCCGGGCATCAGATTCCGACATGTATAAGTTATTACCTCCAACCAAACAATGTCTATAAGTTATGATTTATTGATTATAAGTTCCTATATTCAATTTATAAGTTTACTGCGTTGCAAGATAATATGCAAATTCAAAGGGTAAGATTATTTCTCATGTTAAGGGACACGTCTCACATGTACTTTTCTCTGATCTTTTTCTCAAAGAATGTGTAATTCAACAACTCATTGGCTGTACTAATGCATGTTGCAGGGCAATCTTATTACTAATCCATTTCATGGCCTACGCGAAATACATATTAAGATTTAAGATTATGATAAAATTTTGGATGATTTGCGAATTTAAATAACAGTAATTACAACATAAGCCTCACATAAAAAGAAAAATATAAAAGTGTAAACGGAAAACACGTATTTTCAGTCCCTCAAACCGCGTTGAAATTGAGAAGTTACCTATGTGTTCTCAAGTGTGTAAATATCATCTCTCAATTACCTGAATGCACGTAAGTGTGCTTCATGCTCACGTTAAAAATGTCACTTCTCAAAGGATTACATGTACCACAATTTGAATAATTGAGAGTGACATTTAAGAACTTGAAAACATGGGTCATGCATTTCAAAGTGCGTACTATTTGAGGGACTAAATATGAGATCTTCCCAACTATATATATCAATAATAGCTTAGTAATCAATTTCTAACATATCATATTCAAGGTTAAAAATTACTAATCCATTAAATTTTTCTCCATACATAGTTAATCATATCGCAGATCCATAAAATTACTAGTTGCAACATTTCTTTCGACATTGACTACGGTTACAATTGACGTAGCTAGTGTTCAGGTCTCTGCTTGTGTGTGTATATTACAAATGGTGATTTTATCGGTAAATAACAAAAGATGTACGTACTATGTATGCAAGAGCTCTAGTACTTTTAAGAGGGTCCCTCTAAACCTATCAACATCCAGTTTCACATCTTGACTATCCAGGTAAACTTCTCTAAAAGCGTCCCACCCTAATTTACTGCTGATCGCACTACGGTTCGTAAACACGTCATGCCCCATTGGGTATTTGTCAATCAGAGAGCTCTCATTCACGCCTATTTTGTACTCCAAGTACCTCAAACCCATATCCACTGAAGGAAGCTCATAGTCCGTCTTGGCTATCCCATCCATTCCCAACCCTACAACTTGTACCACAACTGCATTCTCCGGCAAGAACACCATGTTTGATAGCCCCGCCCCGTGCACACCAACCACCGCATCGAATTTGTTCACGAATCTCGAGACCCGGTTCATGTCCACCCCCGTCTCTTCTGCAACCACTTCAAACCCTAACCCTGATGCCATTTTCGCAATCTCGTCGGTGTTCGAAAAACGCCTCGTTTTGCTTCTCGATATAATGAGGACTCGTGGTTTGTGAGTTTTGACAATCACGTCACGTTCCAGGTGATACACGCTTCTCATGAACTTCGTGAAGTTCTTCATTGAGAGAGAAACAATGTCGTCGTCGTCGTCGTCGATGCTAAACTCTTTGTTGGCTTTTAAACCAACGGTGATTCTTGGGAAACAGATGACGTCGTCTTTTCCGGTGTTATCGAGGTTGATGATGTCATGCTTGGTCAACCCTTGTAACACGTTCTTGTACTTATTTACCCACCACTGCCGGTAGTCAACGACTAGGAACTGCACTTCTCTCTGAAATCCGTGCGTGGTTAGGAACAAAGGGATTATCACATCGGACAAGTCATGGAATAGGTTTCCGGTGTATCCGGCGAGAGAGAAAACGACGGCCGGAATGTTATACTTTCTCGTACAATTTCGGAGTTGATGATGATGGTAGTGAGAAGAGAGGGTGATCACTTGATTAATGGTTAGGTTTCGGACGTTTCTCATAGCGAAGAAATCGGGTTTTCTAGCGTATGGTTTTATGTTCCAAGACATACTAACAACATTTGAAACAACGACAATGGTAGTAGGTGATGAGGAATTGGTCGTCGATAGTACTCTTATGTCACCCTTTGCATGGCAAATGTCCGATCTTGGATGTGTTTTGCATATTGGTCTTGCGTCTTTTGCTTTACTGGAATCTAAAAATGTAAACAAATTTAATTTGCATTTTATCTTGACTATTAAGTCAATTAAATACGTACTCCCTATAAATAAGAACATTTTCAAATTTCAATTATATATACGTACTTAATGGTAAAGATGTGACCACTTTAATTTGTACGTTTATGGAAGTCAAATAGGCCCAACCTTATTTCAATATTTTTAGTGGCCGGCCTCCAAGTTGAAACAATTCATTGTATTCGTGATCAAACCATACATCGTTTTCTCCTCGATCTAAGACAATATGATAGGCCATAGGTATGATGCATGACCCTTTTCAAAGAATGTTTTTCTATAATTTAAACATACCTACCTAATTCTTACTTTAAATTTAGTAGTACTTTCTAAAGAATTAAAACGTTTGTTTTCAATGGGAGGGGACTGAAATAGTTGGTCGAGCAAAAGAATACTAATTGTTGTTGTTAATTAATTACGTAGTACGGAGTATATAATACACGGTACAAAGCACAGAGTATTTATTACTATTTCCGTCCCAAAAAACTTTGTCATTTCAAAAAAATTGAGCCATGAGTTCTATTAGTATAATATTATGGAAACTAAATTTTATACTTTTATTGAAAGTACTTTTGAAAAAGAATATTTTTCATTTGATTTTTATAATAAATAATTTTCCATAAAAAGATATATAATTGATCAAAGTTTTGAAAATGACAAAGTTTTGATGGAAGTAGTATCAAATATCAATTGTTGCTGTCGTTGTGGTTGATACAAATTTGAACTTACATGGTTGTGGTGGAATGTTTGTTTCAATATGTTTAGTGGCTTGCACATTTACAAAATCCGTCTTCCCTACTTCAACTGGAGCAGCTGTACGTAATAGCAAAATAAATCACAAAAAAAGGGTGATCAGTGATCTCTTTTCTTCTTGAAGCTACAAATCAATGGATAAAACACAAACTAATCGTTATAAATTAAAGTAAGGGTTTCTCTTATAATACATTAGTAAGATACAATACTGCGCGTATAAATTATAAACAAAAATAAAATAAAATTATTACTATTGTGCCTCATAAGTAATGCATTAATTAGTACTACTGAAAATCGTAGTATTAAAATGCAAAAATAGTGGACCATTGCAATTAAAAAAAACTAAGGAAGTACTATTGAACATCGCTCAGTGATTAATTACAATGCAAAAATGCAATGACCGTTGTTGCATTATCAAGAGTAATACTTCGCTCGCTGTTTTAATTTAAAACATACATATGCGCCATTCATTCGTAAACAAACAAAAGCTTGGAGTTATTTCAGTTCTCGACCATGCCAGACTAAAAACTTGGATAGATCAAATCAAACCAAATCAGATTTTGAGAGTTATACAATATACATAAATAGATATTTATGAGACCAGATTTAAAAGATTGGCATAGCAAAGGATGCATGGACTTACAAACGGGATAGGAAGCAAGATTGGAAGTAGCGTAGGGCGGCGGCTTAAAGAAAAAGCAAAAGGCAAAAGCAAGGAGGAAGAAGGCAAGACAAGCCCACCATCCCATTTTGCTCCTCTCTTGCCTGCTAAAACTTCTGGCCATAATCGCCTCATAATTCGACCCCTTCTTCTCCATATGTGATGAATGACGATGATGTGTATAAATGAATGGAGAAGTTTTGGTTTCTTATTTCAAAACAAATCAAATTGATCGATAGAACTGACTGATTAAGTGGAGGGAAATGCTTTTAGTTAGGGTTTTTCACAATTTTATTTTACGGCCGGCCATGATAATAATATAACATAATGATATATATATACTGCTTTTTATTTCTATTTACGGAATGGACGTGTATGTTCAATTGAGCGCGCAACGGCTCTCAATCAAATAATCGTTCGTTCGTGTACTTGCGCTATACCATCAAATTTAATTACTTTTATACCATATATATATGCGGAGTACGTATATACTTATATGAACAACTTATTACACTTCGTATGATTGTTCGTCGGGATGATCTAATCACTTGTTGAGTCCCTAATATTTTTTAAATTAAAAATGTTTTTAGAATGTTATATGGGCTTTTTCCTTCAATATTACTTAATCGAAGCAATTTTCCACAAAAGTAACCATTTTTATAAAAGGACAAAAATGTGACTAAAAAGGTCACATTTATGGAAAACATTGTGTCACTGACTTTTTGTGTCACTACCAGATATTTATTATGGCACTATTATATGTTACTATCACATTTTTATGTCACTTTTGAATGTCACTAGCTCACTATAATCGTCGGAAATTTTTTGACAATCTATTCCGGCTAAACTATCAATACTACCGCCGCCCGTGTCACTACTATTACTACTGCCACCCGTGTCACTACTATTACTACCGCCACCCGTGTCACTACTATTACTACCGACCACAGTGACACATCCAAAGTGACACCGACCAGGCGACCACCACTATCGACCACCTCTGCCGCTGCAGGCCACCACGACAGTTTCCGCCACCCGCCACCCGCCGCCGCCCACCCAAACAGTCCACCACCGCCCCCTGCCCCATCACCACTCCACAAATACAGCAACACACCACCTCCTTAACCCAACTGTTCTGCCCCCAGCCCCCTCTTCAACCCGTCCACCACCACCTCCGGCCACCGCCGGCGACTACCAGCTCCGACCACCAAACCCCAAACCCCTTCCTTGCGTCACCCCATCCCCAACCAGCATCCCCCACCCCCACGGCCCCACAGTAGCTCTGACCCCTCACAGCAGCCCCCAACCTTTGCACAATCACCGGTTAGCCTCCACCAATCGCACAACCCTCCCCCAACACCACCAGCCTTGCCCTACCCCCACCAACCGTTACATTCTGCCTCGAACTCCTACAACCAGTAGCCTAACACATCTACAAGGACGCCATCAGGTCTGCGGATTCTGGACAAAAAAATTCGGATTTGCACAGCCCTCAAATCTGTGGAATTCGGACAGAAGAAAGGAGAAGAAGATGACATCCGAGCAGAAGCACGGCGGCGAGACGCGGCGAGGCGGCGAGACACGACGAGACGCGGCGAGGCGGCGAGACACGATGAGACGCGACGAGGCGGCGAGACACGATGAGACGCAAGGCGTGGCGGCGAGGTGTGTGAGTTGAGGCAGGGCATGGAGCTCTTGATCTGAAGGAAGAAGAGAGAAGGGTGCAGTGTGGGGTGAATGATGGGTTGGGGAGGGAGGAGGTGATTTTATTTAAGTCAGTTTTTTGTCCAAACAAGAAGTGGTCATATTTTTGTCTTCTCAAACTCCATTAGTAATATTTAGGTCATTCTTTCATGTTATATTTTGAACTGTTTTCAATTCCAGATCAGATCAGACCAGATCAGACCAAACCAGACCAAACCAGACCAGACCAGATCAGACTTTCGTAATTATAAAATACACAGAGACCAGACGTTTATCAGACCAGACCAGTTCAGACCAGACCAAACTATACCAGATCAGACCAGACCTGTAAATTTCAGTCCAAAAGAAATCATCCTTAGTTGGACTGTTTTCAATTCCAAACCAGATCAGACTAGACCAGACTTTAACTGACCATACCAAATTAGACTACACTTAAATAAATCATACCAAACCAGACCTGACTTCCATAGTTATTAAATAGAAAATTCTATTCACAACCTCTCTATTGCTAAGTACAGCCCCTTAATTAAATATTATTAAATAAAATAAATTCGAATATCCAATTTTCCCTTAGAATAATATAGCCCCAGATGCAATAAAATCACTTGCCGCAGAATGTTTCGTTATATTGTATAGTATGTATATTTTTTATTTAACTTCTTGTACTTAGCCCAACCTTGTATTTATCTTTGGGCCCAAGTAATTATTGTATATTTAAACTCTCCTCTTACGTAATAGAAGCAAGGCAATTTTTACCCTAATTACGATTTTGTCATGGTATCAGAGCCTCACGCTCGACAGCTTCATAACCAAATTATACGGTCATCTTCTTGATCACAGAAACCTCGACGTCTGACCTTGGGTGGCTGCATCGGCGTTGTAGGCTACCGAAGTCATGTCCGGTGAAGAGAAAATCGATGTTGCTTCCCCATATTATCTTGGATTCGGAGATCAACCCGGAAACATAATCATGCATGTGATACTTACCGGGGATAATTATGTGGTCTGGGCAAGGGAAATCACGTTGTCCTTAAAGGCTCGGAGAAAATTTTTATTTGTTGATGGAACAATTAAGAAACCAACTGAAGCAAGGAAATTGCTCAATTGGGAAACAGTGATTTCTATGATAGTATCTTGGATACTTCGAAGCATTGACGGGAAGATCGTTGCGTCAATCTCATACCGTGTTGAAGCCAAGCCCCTTTGGGATTATTTGGAGAAGAGATATTGCGTAGCTAATGGTCCTAGACTTCAACAACTAAGGGCGGACATCGTGGGATGTCAGCAGGGCAAGGGAATGAGCGTTGATGATTATTTTAATCAACTAATGTCTCTGTATGATGAACTGAATCGCTAAAAGTCATTACACGCTTGCAGCTGCAATGTGTGTACATGTAGAATAGCAGAAAAATTCACAGCAGATCGAGAGGAAGAAAAACTCCATCAATTTTTAATCGGCATCGATGACAAGTAATATTCTATCACACGATCTAATCTTCTCTCCCAATTAACCAGTCCCATTCACGCTTGATAGGGCGTATCAAGCCATGATTCAAGAGGAAAATCCAAGAGATGTTGTTAGGGGAAACTGTGCACGAAGATCCTCATGCTTTCCCCCTATGTGCAGATCAACCGAATACCAGAAGTGAGCGAGTGGACAAGGGGAAGTTGCAGTGCACTCACTGCAAACAAAAGGGATGGTGTCTTGCTTCAAGCTGCATGGATACCCGGAGTGGTGGACAGACCGAAACCGCAGTGGCAAGGGGCAGACCAGTTCTCGTGGCGTGCAGGGAGCTGGTGGCCATGGAACGGGAGGGCGTAGACTGGCTCATGCCAATGTTGTGAAGGACAAAAAATCCACGACAGAGACTAACACTTCCCTGCAGCAACTTACACCCGAGCATGTGCAGGCACTTCTCAATTTAATTAATTCTGAAGCTAAAAATGTTGACCGCATGACTGGTAAGAACGACTCGTGTTCATGGATTGTTGATAGCGAAGCCACACATCATGTTACCGGTAATGATGGTTGTCTCATGAATTTTAAAATTGCTGATCAGTGGACGGTAGGGATGCCTAATGGACAACGAGTTTTAGCGAGCATGGTTGGAGATGTGCATTTGTCTGAACACTTTATTCTGAAAAATGTTTTATACATGCATGCCTCGCTTGACGTGCAACTTAATTTCTGTTGCACAAGTGATTGATTATTTAAAATGTGTAGTCCGGTCCACTAATAAATTGTGTGTTATACATGACCAACTCTCGGGAACCTGATTGGAGCCGGTGAGAGATGGGACGGACTCTACTACTTTCGCAGCCTTCCTCGCATTCAGTTGATCACAATACCTGAGCTTGGAAATTTTGATTTGTGGCATCGAAGACTGTGACATCCTTCTAACAGAGTTCTCAAGTTAGTGTCGGTAGTTCGATGTACTGCGGGTAATAAAAATTTGAATAAGACATGTGTGGCATGTCCTATGGTGAGAAAAACTCCTAATAATTTTCTTATTAGTGAGAATAAAGCAACCCTAATTTTTGAATTAATACATTGTGACTTGTGGGGTCCCAATTGTATTCCTTTGTCTTGTGATGTTGTTTATTTTTAATGATTGTGAATGATTTTTCTTGTGGTATTTGGGTATATTTATTGTGAGCTAAAAGTGGAAGTGGAAGTACATAAATTTATTTGTTCGTTTTTTTGCTATGGTGGAGCGGCAATTTGAACCCCATGTTAAAATTGTTCGTTCCGATAATGGGATGGAATTTACGTGCATATCTGATTATTTTGCTACTCATGGCATTTTATTTCAAACCTCGTGTGTTGGGACGCCTCAACAAAATGGCCGGGTGGAACGAAAACATCAACACATCCTTAATGTTGCTCGTGCTCTTATGTTTCAAGCTAATCTTTTTCCGCTCCGGTTTTGGGGAGAATGTGTTCTTGGAGCTATATATTTAATTAATCATACACCTTCCGGCCTTTTGGGCAATAAACTCCTTTCGAGCTCCTGCGTGGGACAACACCTACTTATGATGAGATGCGTGTCTTTGGTTGTTTATGCTTTGCTCACAACCAACACGCTAAAGGTAATAAATTTGCACCTCGGGAACATAAATGCGTGTTTTTGGTTATCCCAATGGGCAGAAAGGATGGAAGTTATTTGATTTGGACACAGAAGAATTTTTTGTATCTCGGGATGTAACTTTTCATGAACATGAATTTCCTTTCATGGAACATTCCACTGCTGCTCCTGCCGCATTTCCCGTCCTTATGAACGTTGGATTTGATGATGATCTTGATGATGGTCAGTTAACCACTTTAGGGGTGATGTTTCTGATACGTCGGCTGCACTTACTACTGCTCATGGTAGTAGCATTGAAACCCCAGAAGTTTATCACGGCGTGGTCAACCCTTCAAGAGAGCAAGTTGATGCTTCTGGCAGTTCTTTCCAACCGGCTGGACCGCCTCCAGCCTCGTCCTCTTCGTCCAAACAGCCACTTGGTCGTGGCCATAGCGGCCTTCTGTTTTGCTCCGGGATTATGTTACACATGCAACAAGTAGTAAGAGTCCTCTCTCGGCCTTGCCATCTCCGTCCTCTTCCCTAGGCAATCCTTACTCTTTAGCCCATTTCATTAACTTTGACAATTTTTATGCCTGCCATTGTGCCTTTATAACTGCAATCCATGCCGGTGTCGAACCACATTCTTTTTCTGAGGCCATGCAAGATCCTGGTTGGCGTGGGTTATGGCTGAATTACCTCCTAACAAAAGGGCTTTGGGCTGCAAATGGGTATGGCTGAATTACCTCCCAACAAAAGATAGGGCCAAGGAAATTCGTGCTCTGGAAGATAATGGCACGTGGGTTATGGCTGAATTACCTCCCAACAAAAGGGCTCTGGGCTGCAAATGGGTATACAAGATAAAGTAGCATTCTGATGGGAGTGTTGAGCGCCTCAAGGCACATCTTGTTATTCTAGGCAATCATCAGATAGTTGGACTGGACTATAATGAGACATTTGCTCACTCCCCAAGATTAGTTTGCCGCCTCAAAAAGTCTTTATATGGCCTTCGCCATGCACCCAGATGTTGGTTTGCCAGGATTGTTACTTATTTGAAAAACTGTGGTTTCTGTCAATCATACTCGGATTATTCTCTAGTCACCTTTCATCGACGTATTGTTCGTCTCAATGTTCTTGTTTATGTTGATGATTTGATCATGTCTGGGAATGATTCCACTGTTATAACATCCTTCAAAGCCTACTTGAGCTCCTGCTTTCACATGAAAGATCTTGGTGTTCTGAAATATTTTCTAGGCGTGGATGTTGCTCAGAGTACTGAAGGTATTTTTCTTTGTCAAAGCAAGTACTCCCTAGATATCATCGTCGATGTTGGCCTTCTGGAGGCAAAACCAGCTAGTGTTCCACTTCCGCAGAACCATTCTCTTGCTCTGGTCGAGGGTGAACCTCTTCCTGATCCGGAATCCTATCGACGTCTGGTTGGCCGCCTTATTTATTTGTCATTTACCCACCCCGACTTGGCTTTTTTTGTAAACACTCTTGCTCAATTCATGCATGTCCCGCGTCCTGGACATTGGGCCGCTGCTCTCGGTGTTATACGCTACCTCAAAGGGTCTCTGGGTCAAGGTATTCTTCTTGGCTCTCATTGCGACTTATCTCTTTCGACTTGGTGTGATTTCGATTGGACCAGTTGTACGTTAACACGTCGTTCTCTAACTAATTGGCTTGTTTTCCTTGGTTGCTCTCCCATTTCGTGGAAAACCAAGAAACAGCATACCGTCTCTCGTTCTTTGGCTAAGGCATAGTATCAGTCCATGGTTTCTGCTACATCTGAGCTGAAATGGCTCAAGGGGCTTCTTCTTAGTCTTGGGGTCACTCATCCTCACGTTATGCAACTCTTATGTGATAGTCAATCCACTCTACACATTGCTCAGAATCCGGTCTTTCATGCACGTACCAACATATTGAAGTGGATTGTCACTACATCCGGGATGCGGTTTAGGATGGCACTGTTCGTACTTCTCATGTGACTACCACCGAGCAGCTTGCCGACATCTTTACCAAGGCTTTGGGTGCACGGCAGTTTAGTTATCTACTTGGCAAGTTGGGCATTTGTGACCTGCATGCTCCAACTTGAGGGGGTGTTACGTTATATTGTATAGCATGTATATTAATTTATTTAACTTCTTTTATTTAGCCCAACCTTGTATTTATCTTTGGGCCCAAGTAATTATTGTATATTTAAACTCTCCTCTTACATAATAGAAGCAAGGCAATTTTTACCCTAATTATGATTCTGTCAGAGAAGTTGCTGCAATGGTGATAGGTGCAAATCAAAGCACGATCAGATCTGAGGTAGTCATGATAGCCTTGACGTTGTATATATAGAACGTCCTCACAAATTATTCCAAATTATCTGAAGTAAGGATTGTTTGGGGTGTACGATGGACATGGGGGGAGCAAAGCTGGTGAATTTTGCTCAATTCTTAAGTATCGAAAGTTGTAATACATCGTTATTACATTTAAAAAATACGTAGTAGTATTTTATTTTATGGCTTTTTACTGCTATTCTGTTCTGTAAATTTCTAATCTGGAAGCTTTAGGGCAAGTCTGAAACCAGAGATAGAAACGTCAGTAGGCAAGAAACACAGAGAAATAAGAAAGAAAGAAAGAAACTTGGAGGGAAACGAAAAAAATCTATAGCAACCATCCACTACATTAGGTTATTTGTTCTTTTCCCCTCCAAGGTGAGAGTTTTTCTTCGTATTTCAAGAAGCCTTCAAAGTTCAAACATCTCTGGACTGGGAAAATCGCACATTTCGTCTCTGAAATAGTCACCATATTGAAATGTCAGACCTGTATTTCGGAGGTTGTAATTGTCACCCCTCAATTGTCCAAATTGCTGTAAATGTGGTCTTTTGAAGGGTGAAATGTACTTCCCGCCCATAGTGTACATTTCATCTTCAAAGGACCACATTTACAGCAAATTGGACAATTGAGGGGTCACATTTACAAACTCGGGAATACGAGTCTGACATTTCAGTATGGTGACTATTTCAGGGACTAAGAGTGCGATTTTCCCTCTCTGGACTATACGATGAGGTTTTGCTACTTTGTTTATTAAGGGTACATTAGGAATTATAAATAATTAATTTTTTAGGAGAATTTAAATATTTAATGTGGCTTTATTTAGCAAATGGGGTGGTTGTGTTTAGAATTGCTCTTATAAAATACATAGAAATCGAACATTTATCAGACGAGATCAATGAATTTCAGTTCAAGTTAAAGCATCATAAGCCTGAATAAGGGTACTACTCCGTATTACACTTGAAACTCGATTAGAACGGATAAAAATACTCTCGTATCAATACTATTCAAAAATTATTATTTATAACTCTACTAATTACAATTTACAGATTGGGAATGTCACATTTCAGTCGCTCAGTTATTGCTCATATTGAAATGTAATCTAAGTGGTCTTCACCATTAAAATTAAACTAAGTAACTAACATTGATCGCTTATTTATTGTAACTTCGATACTGGTTAAGTTTGTAACTTCATACATGGGCTGATATTTTTTAGTGACATGTTATATATGGAATCTAATACTTCGGTAGTAGTAAAAAGCAACAATGATATATCATTTTGTATTTGCCTTTTTTATACCTTAATTGTATATATTGAACAAGGTAAAAATTATACTCAATCTTACGATAGTATATAATATATATTTTTTTGGACATTTATTATTTTTCTTCCTATATCACTATAAAGTAATGATAATAATTATCAATAGAAATCTAAAATACATTTTCACATCTAGACTTCGCATATTCCTATCTAGACCTCAAAGGCTTGAAGCTTGGTCTTGTCGCTTACCACATCTCACGCCTTTTCCAACATTGTTTACATATATTTTGCTGTTTTGTATTCCTCAGAAGTAGAAGTCGCCAAATGGAGCGGCGTTTTGTAAGTCATCATTTTATTTGACGATTTTTGGTAACCATGGATTGGCCCAACAATATTTTGGTATATATTTACAACCCGATACCAATTTCATAAATAATTTTTTCTTGAGAAAACTGACAAATCGCCCTCGTAGTATACCAAAAAAAATTAATTAAACCCTCAGACAAATCGGCCCTCGTAGAAAACTGACAAATCAAACACTGAATTAAGCTCGTGAGCTATACAAAAACAGTCAATTTTATAATTCAGTATGTTGCTTCCCGAGTTCCCGATTAACCGGTCATTTACTTATGTGGCAATTCACTTGACTTTTTCTTTTTTTCTTTTTTTCTTTTTCTTTTTCTCGTTTCTGCTTCTTCAGCCCTACGCCCCTACCCGCTTCTCTCCTTTTTATCTTTCTTCTTCTTCGGCCAATCCACCCCTTCTTTTTCTTCTTCAAACCACCCCACAACCCTTCCTCCTGCACTCCTGCTTCTAATCCAGCCCAGCCCAGCACTCCCTGGCCCCCGTCCCTTCTTGTTCTTCTTCAAGTAAGAGGGAACCAGGAATAGTGTTACCTTAGATAGAGGCACATCAAAGGACTGTTCCGATGCTTCGATTATAAAATTGACCGTTTTGGGGTAATTCACATCTTTAAATGGGTGTTTTTTAATTTAATAGTTTAATTGAGTCATTTTATATACTTGGAAGACCAATTTGATAATTTTCCTTTTTTTCTTTAGCATTATTTTGAAAATAAACTTCAGATTGTTTGCCTGACTCTATCTTATTTGTTATATGGAATTCCATCAAAATCTGCTTATATCCTTTAGAACTATAGTCCATACAATATTGGAGGATGGTGGATTTTAAAGAATCTTTTAAAATGCAAATTGGGGTCATCAATATTTCAATCATTTCATTTTCATTTACCCTAGTGCTGCAAAGGCTCCCACCTACGGTGGGGTAAGGGGGTCGGATGTACGCAGTCTTACCCCTGTACTAAAGCACAAAGAGACTGTTTCCGGATGACCCACAGTGAAAATCACGTCCAAAATTGTATGGACTGACTGCTGCTTCATAACAAAGAAGCGCAGACAGTTTAGTGAGTCATTTTACTTTATTCCATCATAATCTCAAGCCAAAAAATAATGAATCTTTGGCTCCATTGCAAATGATGGAAAGGTCATCAATATTTCAATGGTTTCTAGAAATTCTAAATAGGTAGATTTTGGTTGAAATATAACTTCCCATTAAAATCCACCATTGAGCCTCGGACACCCCCTCACACAAATCACAATGGAAGGCTAATAGATGTCTACAAAACAGGAAATATTCACAATTGGACTTCTTGAATGACAAGAAAAGCTTGGAAATTATGGATCTCCTCGCAACATCGTATAATCCATTTGATTTTCAGAACAATCACAATCAGATAATTTGTTGCTAAACTGACTCCACAATCTGATGACTCCATCAGTATATACACTGAAAAGTGTCCTTCCATCAAAACTCCACTTCAAACTTGTACAAAAGACGACCTACGGATGATATACACAAACAAAGATCAGATATACTGGTACTATAATATCAATTTCTTTTGGTAATCGCAACATTGAAGCTAATGGAGTCAACTGCATTTCTTTACATCGTACAAGGACCCATTGAGTCATTGACTGAATGTAATCCTATAACATTGAAGCTAACTCCAAGGACTTGACAGAAGGAGGTAGCTCAAGCAGATAGGTTATTCATTTGCTATACGCACAAATAAAATCCTTGGAATCATTAATTCTCGTCCAAAGAAGATCAATGTGCGAGCTAATAGTAATTAAGGCTTTTATTCACAAATGCAAAACCACGATTAAAAATCCTGCATTTTAGATGTAATATGCTTTACATCTTACAAAACACCGACTAAATGTAATCCTGTAACATTGAAGCTAACTCCATGAACTTTACAAGAGGAGGTAGCTCAAGCAGACAGGTCCTTTTTTTGCTATACGCACAAATAAAATCCTTGGAATCAGTCATTTGTCATCCAAAGAAGATCGATGTGCAACCTAACAGTTAAAAGATACGTTCAATCACTAATCCAAAACCAGGATCAGATATTCTGCATCTTTTATGTAAAATGTTTTGCTGTTTCCCGGTACACAGGAGGTAGAAAATATACAGGGGCCTGATTCATGTTACTACACAGCCTACGGCCCTATGGCCCTAGGAAAATAGGCAAATAACAAGTTTAGTTCATGTTTGGGATCACCTCGATATTAAGTGGTATATGAGTGCAAAATACATAACAAACTGCGCCACCAAATTTTTGTGTTACGAATACATCTTAAGGAAATATTTCCTTCTTTTCCTTTTTAATTGTAACACTCCTATTTTCGAATTTGGATCCTATCCATAAAGTGGAAATAAAGTAAGAATGAATTAAAGACACACAAATGTTAACATGTTACCAAATATGTTATGCTACAATAATAAAAATAATAAAGGGACATCCAAAAATGAAAAAATAAAACAATTATAGAGGGAGTATTTCAATTTTTTCATACATATATGTATGAAAAATGTGTGATCCTAAACCATAGGAGCTTTACTCCATGAATTAGTACGAGGAGATAGCTCAAGCAGATAGGTTATTTCTCTTTCTATATGCACTGATAAAATCTTTGGGATCATTTAACTGGAGTCCCAAGAAGAACGATGTGCAACTAACAAAAAACATCAATAAAAATGTTATATGGACTAATCTTTTGAAAAAGATACCTTATTGTTTGAAGTAGTTGTTGCATCTGGTGCCATTTCTCTCTCCTGCTTTGAATCAACACTCTTGCTCGAGGTAACAAATCTTGATGCTAGACGCAGTAGCTGCAGTAAGCCAGTAATGGCTTGGGATGGAGCAGATAGAGAGAGTAATTGACCCCGGGTCAAGATTGTAGAGTCTCATACCCTCGGCCAAAATCCACAACAGAATCAATCGATTTTTGCATCCGCTAGCGCAAACAGAACCGTCAGGAGAAACATAACTGTGTTCACATACCCAGTGTGCCCGAGAAGATCCGAACGAAGCTCGCAGTTTTTCAGATTCCAGATCTTCACACTACGCTCCCATGAGGCAGAGACAACGGTGGGCTGCCAATTGTTGGGGCTGAAACGCACGCCTGAAACCCACTCAGAGTGAGCTTCTGACTGCTGGATAGTGTACTTGCATTCACCAAGAGCATTCCAGAGCTTGATTGTCAGGTCGCGGGAGGCCGGGACAATCTGGTGGTTGTCGACTGAGAATGAGTCGGAGAGCACACCCTGTCCCACGAAGCGGCGGGCGGTATTACCAGACTGGAGGTCGCATACGCAAAGCTCTCCGTGCCAAGATCCTAAAGGGCGAACTGACCTAAGTGGGAGCGTCCCGTGAGGCGGCGGCGCGGGAGACCGCATCGTGGGCCGTCCTTTGCGACAATCCAGAATTTGTTCAGGGAGGTCACAATTGCGTTGGCGTTGTCGATTGGGGAGGCGACGGCCAAATCGGAGAGGGGTGCTGATGCAATCGAAGAGGCAGAGGAGGGGTTAGTTGTATAAACTATTCCGTATTAAGAGATGGGATGAAACAGAGTTGCCCCAGTATACGCCATTTATACAAACAAAAAAAGGGATGACAACTCGATGAACCCTAGTGTTGCCCACTTGCCCTACTATACATTTTTTGGAAAATTCCCCAAATTGCTTTCATCTTTACTATATATCGGACGTGGAGAATACTGAATTCAACCAGATTTGATGATGTCAAAGTTGGGGAGGATGTTTTTGCTAGGATCTAATACATGGCGTATAAGTTACTCTATAGTATTTACTCCTATGAACTTATTACTTTTTTATACTTGGTGTGGATTGCGCCTAAATGTCTTGTTTTGTGGAGTTTGGGAATGATTGTATAGCCCAGAGGTTATGGTTTATCCCATATTGGGATAGTCCCATTTTTGTTCCCTCATTTTTTTGCTTATTTGTATATAAACTACTTTAGATGATATATATAATTACCCTTTATCCAAAAAAATAGGAAAATTCCCCAAATAAAATTAAAAAAGTTTGAAATTTTATACTTCCTCCCTCCCTATATTATCTTCAAACTTTCGCTTTCTGGTCCGTCACAAAATTATCTCGTCTTTACCTTTTTTGCAAAGGATTTGTGATTCACAACAATTCTTACACATTTGTCTCTTCTATGCACAACTCTTCACCACACAAAATCCATTATCTTAATCCCCGCGTCGGGTCAAAGGAGGAGTTTTATTAGAGACGGAGGGAGTATGTTTTCATTTCTGAAATAGAAATAATATGACAATATGTATTGTTGTTTTGGAATCATTATTTTCAAAATAATTATAATATTAGACATTGTAAGGGCCTCGAGGCTACTAGTTTAAGTGTGTTGTATAACCCTTATTATCATTTAATAAGATACGGCTCACTTACTACTCTGGTTATTGACCTACCTTTACTTGCTTGCATCATACATCCATTAAACACTCCACTCGAAATTCATTCGAACGTGTTGGGTCTTTGGATTGAAGGAATAAACATCAACAAACATGCGAACCATTATTTTGCTCATGGAATAATATATATACTCCAAACTTCGAGATTGGAAAGGTTGGTCCAAATCATTCAATCTAGGAGATGTACATGTACATTCAGTTTACAGGTTTCATGATTAAAGTGTTATATACCTAAGTGTGTGTGTTGTGTGATTTAAACCTGGTAGGCAAACCACCGAAATCATGGGGCAAATATCGGGGGGAAATTTATCGTGTTTTATTAATAAAAAATAAAGTACAAAAGGAGACGGAGATTAGACCAAAACCTCTTCGGAGGCATACCTCCTCAAAATACATGCAAAGGCGGTACCCAGAAGTTAATGAGAGAACTGGGGGGCTAAGCCCTGACCCAGTATGAAATACAGCATTTTCCGGATCATCGACCGGACTGGACTGGGATTTCTAGTACATGAAAAACAAAATCAAAAGAAATATTGGGGGGGCTAGACCTGACCCAGTATGAAATACAAATAGTTAATGGGACTAAAAGAAGGAATATCAAATAAGTCAATCAAATAGGACCGTTTAGCTAAAGAAGGAAGATCCGCAAGATGAAATGTGTTGTTAATTTGGCCGGATTTTTGCTCGCTAGGTAATGGACCACCCAATTACCTTATCACATAACATGAGTAAAAGAGATATAACTCCTACATGAAATGAGCTTAACTTCATGAATATCGTCCTTGCACCTTCTGAAACTGATTCCGACAAGCAAGCCAAAGCTAGCTTAAAATATGTGTCGACTTAGAAATCTGCTAACTAGCGAGGGTCACCCACTTAGTCGCATAAAGCATAGCTTTCAACTCTGCCTCTGGGGAAGAAGAAACATCTACATGAGATCTAAGCCAAAATATTAGCTTGCCTTTCTGATTTCTCATAATCACACCTCACATTGCTTTCCCAAGTACGGAAGATGCATCATTATTAAGTTGGAAAATTACCTATGATTTAACCCATCTCACCGTCTTGAAAATCGTACATGTGAGTATAAAATCCAGGCGAAAGATATTTTATTCAAACAAAACTTGGCCAATCAATCAAAGCTTAAAATTGGTGAGACTGGAATTCCATCGTTGAGTGTAATGCTTGATTTGGTGTATCATAGTCATGGGAGAGGAGTTAGAAACAACATGTACCCAAATAATATTAGAACAAGCTTTTGAACAATTCTAACAAATGATGCCTGAAAGATTGCGTTCAAAGATGTTCTCAAGCTTTTTCCCTCCCTACTTTAGGCCACCACATAAATAAACCTTGCCGGGATGAACTGTTAATATGAGGTAATTTCAAGCCAAAAATCACCATAAAATAGATCTCATGGAGTATATTTTCATATACCCCAGGGGTATCAACATTCACAGACAAAGAAAGCTTCCAAAACACTATGGAAAATATCTCGTCGAGGCCGACCTCGACCCACTCGAGGTCGCCCCGAACATTTGAATACCAGATCACCAAGATAAGACTGAATCTGAGCCTGAGCTCGACCACGCCGAGGTTGGTATTGGATCTAACCTCACACACGGATGCACAGTCAACCGAAGTCAACAGGACGAAGGAATAATCGCTACCGGACGAACTGAAGACCATGGTCAAACCCTCTAAAATATGTTTACCATACCCGAACTCTGACCATGCTTAAGGAGCTTGGGGCCTCAGTAACAAGTTGTGGACTTAGACATTTCAGCAATCAAGTACCACACAAAACTATGGCCACGTCACCAGCACTATACAATGGCCACATCACCATGGCGGTTACCATAAGGAATATTCTGGATGACCCACGTATGGCGCGCACGTACGTTATGGTACATATAGGACAAAGTCAGTTACACATAGTACCAATCAGTCAGTTGTCCAAGAATTCTCTCCAATCATCTTTACACGTTTCACCACAATATTAGATTAGTACACTCATTCTTGTTAGACAGGTGGGGTATGTGTCCTCGCCACATTGTTTTGCTTGTTAGCCAAGTATTTCTCCCTTAGTATAAGTATCATCTTTCAGCTTATGGAAAGGGGTCCGAATTTTGTTGTAAGAACTTGTTGTTACTTTGGCCAATTTTCTATTTGATCTTATTTAGCATTTATCAGTCCCTCTTACTTTCTCGAACTCCGACTACCTCTGGGTCGGCGATCCATCGAGATCCAAATAGGTTGGGGGGAGTTGCATTGGAAGGATTTAATACCATATCAAATCAGTTGAGATTGTTGGTAATTGGTAGGATTCATTTAATCAATTTCCACGGGAACAGTTTAACTTTCAATTGTTGAATTGGATGTCTGACGTGCACTTTGTCACGTTGTGTCAAAAATAAATTCAATACTAGCACTAATACGTAGTATAGGTGAAGTAGAGTTTGTATCCACAGGGAAAGGAATAAAGCCTTCTCTTTTTATGAAACTAGTAAATAAAAGGGGTTTTTGGGATTGAATGATTTAATTTAAAAACTAAGATGAACAACCTATATGTGTTTTAATTCAAAGATAGAAGAACTTGGCATTGCTACTTTCCACTTGTTGATATATTTTAGTCGATCATTGTTATATCTATAACTTATTTATTCCCTCTCCAATACTCAATCGAGGATTATATCCAATTGATCGAGGGTAGTTATTAACAACGACCGTTCATTAATAACCCTTGCTATTAGTCAAGTATAGAACACTCCATATACCAACTTGATAGTAGCATTTAATCTCTTAACTCCTTGATGAAATCAATTGAGATTGATAACCTCAACACAACGGTTTCGGTTTAACCAACAAAATTAATCCCTCTTAAGTTTATCAACCACGACCGTGCATTAATAAACCGAAGTTACATACTTGTGAAACCATCAACGATTAACCATCGGTTCGTCGATCGTTTCTAGTAATAATTAATATATGAAACAAAAGTAGTTGATCCGTTAAGTAATGTTCAGAATATTAATATGAAATATGAATAGGAATTAATTTATATTCAAGGAAGAATATTATTAAATGAGATGAATCCTACTATAATTAATATCAAGATGTTAACTAATTGTCATCTTAGCAACACTCCCCAACATTAACATAGAGGAAGAAAATACTACTCTAACTAATGTCAAGATGTTAACTAATTGTCATCTTAGCAATACTCCCCAACATTAATATAGAAATAGTATTAAGGAAAGAACTAATAATTATTATTCCAGGGAAGAAGTTAAGAAAATAACTCACAACTTTAATAATCAACAAGCTTCAAGAGCAACACCAAGAATTGGAAGTTTAGCTCCTCATTTGGAGACTAAAAATAGCTAGTAAAATATAAAGAAATGTTAATCAAAACTGAGCTTAAGAGTATGGAAGAAGGGATGATTTTAGAGAAGAAAGTGTGTTATTTATAGATGTTTTCAACACCTTTGGCCAGGTACCCGACCGGGTCAAGTGCTCACCCGAACGGATCCGGTCAAAATCAGATAATCTTCCACGTTCTGGTGATCTTCGGCATGTTCTGGTGTTCCGGGTCAAGTCTGACCCAACCGGTGGAATAGGGGACCCGACCGGGTCCAATGATATTCCAGGCAATTTCGGTTGTTAAATCAGACCCGACCGGGTGAAGTCTTCTACCCGGTCGGGTACTTGCTCCTGGACAGTCAAAAATCCCTTTTTCTTCACTTCAAAATCCTCCTTTTCAACACCATATTTCCTAATTCTACTTTATAACTTACAAATGAAGGTTAAAATACAATTACAACTAAAATCACACAGATGTTTACAAACTAAATAAAATGGTAAACAATTCACATAAATCAAATATAAAAACATACAATTATGCACTACTAGGTAGTGTGCATCAAACACCCCCACACTTAAACTTTTACTCATCTCGAGTAAAATAGATCATGTCCCTGCAGTCCTCCAAATGATAATATAACAATCCAAGAATGTTTTAAGAACAAAAGTACTGTACAAAGTATCCCCAAAAAGTGAATGGAGTAAAAAGGGGTCTTCAACTTCATCGTTATCTCCATTTCTTTTTTTTAAGTTTGTCACCTTCAGGATCCAGAACAATCTCCACACCCCACACGTAGTACCTGACACTGTCCCTAGTGCCCGCCTGCATCA